CAATATGCATTCACGATTCCTCCAGGTCTATCTCACTCACAGTGACTGAAAGTTCCTGTTGCTCAACATGCATGTCAACATCTGATGTTTCAGTGTTTGGGCATTCAGTCTTTCTCCTGGTGGTAGAGTGCTATCTCCTTGGTGCTTTAATTTGCACTTCTCTAATGCCATATGACACTGAACAGTTTTCTGATACATGCTTATTTTCCATTCCTATATAGTTATTCTTTGGTGGGGTGCCTGTTCAGACTTTTTTGCCCACTTTAAATTAGGTTTCTGTTTTCTTATGTTTGGATTTTCAGAGTTTTGTGCATATTAAAATACATATCTTTTATCAGATATGTTTATCACAGAATATCCCTTTCTCTTGCTTATCTTTTCATTATCTTAGCAGTATCTTTTCACAGTGGAAGTATTTAATTTTATTAGAGTCAAATTTTTCTCTTTATCTTAGATTGTTGATATTTTTAGTGTTTCATCTGAAAAATTCCTCATCACACCCAAGGACACCTAGTGTTTGCACCTATAAGTTTGACCCACATTTAAAATTGTGATAAAATGCTTGTAAAAATGAATCATTTCCCCATGGACAAATGTATGAGGAAATTAACTGGTGAAACATTTTGGGAAAAAGCCCTCAGGATTATAAAAAAGATAAAATATTCATACCTTTTTCACACTTACTCAGTTTCCACATTAATATGCATTCCTTATAAGTAATTGTATGCATTTATCCCAGAATTTATACTTAAATATGCTGATTGTGTTTATTATAGCCACAAAAGAGAAACACATGGGTGTTCATGAGGAGGAGATTTGTTCAATGTGTTAATGCAATAAATAAATGGGAATTCTAGAGAGTAGTCCAAAAGTAAGATAGATGTATATGTACTGTGAAGCAAAGATTTTGGATCCATTTGAATAAGTGAGTATATTGGTTTGTTAGGCCTGCCATAGCAAAGTACCTCAACCTGGATGATATAAACAACAGATATTTATTGTCTCATAGTTTTCCAGTCTGGTAGTCAAAGAGCAAGGCGTTCGCAAGGTTGGTTCCTGCTGAGGGCTGTGAGGGAAGGATGTTTTCGGGCCTCTCTCCTTGCCTTGTAGATGGCTGTCTTCAATCCATGTGTGCTTACATTATCATCCCTCTACTCATATCTCTATGTCCAAATTCCTCCTCTTAATAATGACTCCCATAATATTTAATCAGGGACAGCATTAATAACCTCAGTTTAACTTGATTGCCTCTGAAATAATCCTATCTCCAAATAATATCACATTTTATTTATTTATTTATTTTATTTATTTATTTATTTATTTTTTTTTTTTGAGACGGAGTCTCGCTCTGTCGCCCAGGCTGGAGTTATAATATCACATTTTAATTTAAACGGAATTTCACCTATGATAGTGCGAAGGTAACTTGCATGTCTATATGTATATCATTACCCATGTATACTTATATTTATAGACATGTATATAAATATATATGTAAATATCTGTGTGTGTGTTTCTGTATTACCACATCTGTCATTTAAAATCTTTAAATCAGCTTCTAAAATTTACACACCACACTGTTAATTGTGGAAACTTCTGAGTAAGAGGCTGAATTTTGAAGAAACTTTACAAAGGGGAGAAATGTGGTTTCTGTGTATTTTCAGAATTTTTTTCAACAATAATAAATGCAGTATCTATTTGTGAGAAAAGCATTAAAGTAAGCGTAAGAAAAGGAAGAGTAGCTGTGTAGTAGTCAGATAAAGTAACAGTAAGCGGATGGAATGAAAACATTTCCTGAAATTTACATGGTTTAACACGTTTAAATTCCGATTTTAGTTGGCAGGGTTTTATGGGCTGAATTCTACTTCTCCCTCCAAAGGCATCTATCCAGGTCTTAACCCCCAGTACCTCAGAATGTCACTGTATTTGGAGACAAAGCCTTTGAAGAGGTAATTAAGTTAAAATGAGGTCTTATTATTAGGGTCGTATTCAATATTACTGGTAGGTGTCCTCATAAGAAGAGGAGATTAAGATACAGACACACAGAACAAGGGACAACCATGTAGAAATTCAGTGAGAAAGTGGCCATCTGCAAGTCAAGGACAGGGCACAGAAGAAATCAACTGGCAAAAATCTTGTTCTTGGATTTTTAGCCTCCAGAAATGTGAGAAAATACATGAGTATTGTTTAAGTCACCCAGTCTGTGGTATGTTGTTACGGCTTAATAAACTAATACATACTGAGTCTTGGCTCTCATGTTACCCAGGTATCCAAGCTGCTTTCAACTTGTAGCTTTATATCATAACAGATGTTAACTGCTGAAAAGAAATGAAAGCATTGGAATGATGCACTGGCTTCTGTCTAACTGCAAAGGAACCAACCAGGATGACAAGTTAGACAAGAAGATTGGCAATTGTAACATCTCACATAAGCCATCACGGTGCGCAATTAAAAGCAACTATTATAATTGATGAAGGTAAGTCTTTTAGTTTCTTGGAATTGTTTATGAGAAAGCCAGCATTGCCTTGAAATCTTACAGTTTTTTATTGCACCCACTAGGTGATTGGCGGTTTCAAAGAAAGAATTACAATAGGTTTTAAAACAATTCTGTAAGTCTTGGCAGGGAGGGTCAACCTTATTCCCTCAGCACTTTGCTGCACCGTCCTTTTTATGATAAACATAATTTCTTTAGGCTGAGAATCCTGTCATGCCTTTTGGTGTATATCCTACCCTGAGAGCCTCTGCTACCCTTCACATAACTGAACACTCTTGAACAACTGCACGTGTGCCTGTGGCGGACTGCAAACCAGGATTTTCCTGTGCGGCAGGTAACAGACAAAGGACAATGGAAAGATGATCAACCATTGTTTTCTCTGCTCATCAGAGCTATCCAAGGAACCTTTGTCACCTCCTAGGCAGTATTCAGGATTTTTTTATTTTTCTGTTTTTCAGAAATTCAACTCCTTGTCATTTATTTACAAAGTGATTCCCATAGTCTTATCTCATATACCAAGTTTATGAAGGAAGCTTTGCTTTTTGACCACACAGTATAGCTCATTAATCTGTGTATCTCTTCAGTGGCCTGTTTCAAACAATGTTACTACAAATATCATATATTAAAATCCTAATACAAATATCAAATATTAGGATATCAAAAACTCTCTTACCCTAGGATTACATGCCTAGAACCAGTGTATTATGTGGCAAATCAGATTCTACTCACCACCCTATGTGGGAGTATTTTGAGAGTGTGTTGAAGATGCCCAGGATAGATAGGGAATTGTCACTATCCAAACTGAAAATTTACATCGAATTGCTGTTATCGCACAGGAGCCGGGGGTATGGATGGATCAGTCAGGGAACTTCTGTGGGGATGAGGAGGCGTCTATGTCAGGGGAAGGACTGCTGATTCTGGGCTGTTACACTGGAAGCAGGGCACAGCCTTCACAGAGAGATTGTAGGGACGAGCTGGTCAGCAGGACAGGTTCCAGAGTTGCTCAGGAGAGCACACAGGAGAGACAAGAAGGAGGGTGCTGTAAAGTGGGAAAGTGCTGAGGCTGGACAGAACTGCTGGCACCTGGACAGAGTCAGCTCTCTAGAAACCTAGGGCTCAGAATAGGAGCAGGTAAACTAAGCCCACCATGATCCCCAAATTGTATTTATTCTCATTGTCACCATTCTTCTCCCAGCCTACCTGAATACTTTGGCCACAGGGTTCATCTTGATGTCATCTGAGAGATTATAGCAAGTGTGCAGAGAAGTAGCTTAAAAGGCAAAGGCCTTCCTCAGGCTGGGAAGAGAGGGACAGCATGAGTCAAGATGAATTCAGAGCAAGGCTCAAGTGCCAGCCCTGTCACTTTGTAACCATGTGATCTTACTGAATTTATCAAGGACTATGCGCCTCAGGTTCTTCATCTGTAAAAGGGGTTTCATAAGCCCTGTCTTGTAGAATTGCTGGATGTTTATAATGTGAGTAAAACACCTGGCACAGTGCCAAGCATAGATTGGAATTTTAACGAATGGCAGTTACCGATGTAATTATAACCCCAAGGCTACCACTGTCTTTTATGAAAAATTTCACTCTTGTTTTCTGATCTAAAACATCTCAGAGCATATGTAGCTGAATATGTCATGGAGTACCAACTCAACCAAAAATCCGGCTTCATAAATGAAACTCAGTCCATTCTCTTTCCAAAATGATATATTGTATAATTTGGGTAAGTAGAGAATTCCCCAAGTGGAATGCGACTCAATGATCCTGGAATTTGAGTCAAGGACCAACTCCTTTTCACCTTCCCCAATGCTCATCGATCCAAAGCACTAGTTTTATGTATCCTCCACTAAAAATCTAGCCCTTGCTTGGAGTTGCCCACATTAGATTCAAAATCACCTAATTAAATGGCCTTTCCATGGAGTAGGCTCTGGCTCTCCCACGCCAGGTAAGTGAGTCAGCCTAGAGGCTTCTGGGCACCACTTCAAGGGATTATCACTACATTTCTCAGGAAACCCTTGCAGATGATGGATATCAATCACCTGGTTCTTGCACTGTGTTCAAACTCACCAGTTACAGAGCCACAGGACACCTTCCATTACTTCCCCATGTGGAGACTCCTCTCTGCTTCATCCTCCACCCAGAAGCAACTGCTCAGAGCAATTTCCCATTCCAGGCTCTTCCCTCACCCTCCGAGAGTCTGGTCCCAGCCACCACCCAGCTTTGTAACTACCAGCCCTCAGAAAAGCAAGTGCAGTTTTCCAAAGCCCCAAGCTGCCTTAGTTCAAGACCTTTACACTTGAAGGCTTGCATGTGGAGTCTCACCTCCCCAGCCCCTTTTTAACTTGTTCTTTAGATTGTAGAGAACATCTTACCACCTTCTTGATATGGCTTCTGCTCCTAGACTCTACTGTTTTATGGATAGAGATAAGTCATGCTTTCATTAGCATCCCCACTACTAACAGTGACTTCCACAAGCAAATACTGAAAGAATGCTCAGCAAATAAAGGAGTCAGTGGGGCTTTCTTTTATTAAGATTTAATTTCTGCTACTTTCTTCAACAAGCTAAGCAAAGCCAGGTATATATCTTTAATTTTCAAGAACAAAAGAATAAGCAGGACAAGGAAATGAAAATATTGACCATCCTTCACGTTGTCCCACTATTTAACTGCTGAGTTATTGCGTATTGTAAAAAACAAACAAACAAACAAACAAAAAGCCTATTACAATACCACACTACCCTGTTACTGATCACAAAATAAGGGAGAAGGTATTTCCATTTTTTTTAAACAAAATATCAAACTGTTACTCTTAAACCAGATAAACAGCAATACATGTGTGACCAATATTCATAAATTAATGCTCTGAAGCTAACTACCTGCTATTCAAAGGAAAAGCATTCAAAAAGTACTGAAAAACAGGTAAATCTCCACATCGCCCATATGGGACAGAAATGCAAAGAACATTATGTTCCTCGAGCCCCACCTGGCCCTCCACTACCTAGAACCTAAACTGCCTTGTTCAAACACAGAGCGCAGAAACTATTCTAGACTTCACTCAGAAAAGGGGAGGTTGCTGGACATGACACTGAGGCTTTCAGTGGCCATGACAGTGGCATCATCTGTGGTATCAGTCATGGCCTGGGCTCTCTCTTCCACATCTTTCAAAGCATCCTTGTACCAGGATGGAAAGGAACTAGGGACAGTGTTGTTCAGCTTGGCTAAAAACTCGAGTACTTTACTCTTGATGCTTTCTGAATGGGCTCTCGGACCCCACAGGAATTCATAATATGGAGGAGAACTGTTTGGCACCTCCCGACACTCCAGGTATTGCCCCTGCACCCAAACTTTAGTGAGGAGCTCCCTGGGCTCCCCATAGATGAAGTGCTCCCTCCCAGCATACACCCCTATTGCATTCAGCACTTCCCAGATGACCTCCTCAGAGGCAAAGCTGCCCTTTATGAAGATCACACTCAGAATAATAATCAGGAGGCTGTTCTCCGGCATGCCCTCGTCATCACTACCCTCATCAGTGAGGTCTACTGTGTTTGCAAACACAGAAAAGTGGTCAGGGCCCACTTCTATCAGGGCAAGGCCAAAAAGGAGCTCCATGAACTCACGGGCTCTCTTGAGTATCACAGGAAAGTAGTCTTTGTACTTGATGACAATCATCAGCATCTCTGCCTCTGTTACAGGCTCCTCTGCTTTGTACCTGAGGAGCAGGAACGCCACTAACTCGGCCACCTTTTCATCTAGTGTATGTGTGAAAGAGGACTCACTGTCTGGCAGGCCCTGACAGGTACTTGTATCCTCCTCTTTTTGGCTGCTGGACTCTTCACTGAATGAGCTCCATGAAAAAGAGGAGCAACAGGAGCTCAGAGGACTCTGGGAAGGACCCTGTGGAGGACTCTGTGGAGGACTACTGGGAGTGCTCTCGGGAAGACTTGGTATCACATCAGACGGCACCTCCTCCTCAGGACCACCAAGAATCAGAGAAGAGGATGAGGAGAAGGAAGAGGGGGAAAATACTAAGTAGAAAGTGGAAGAGGAAATGGAGGAGGCTTCCTCCTCTTCCTCATCTGTGGGATCCTGTGCATCTACCCAGTCCTCTGACTCAACTGAGGCCGGAGAGTCGTCGTCAACGTTGTGGAATGGAACGCCCGGAATGGGAGGCATAACGACTTCTTCAGGCGCAGCAGGTAAAGGTATCAACAGGGATATGGATGATGAGATCCAACAGGCCTGTGGAAGAGAGTGACAGTGTGAATGGCCTCAGCTGAGAAACTCACCCATGATGGCTCTGACAAAGGCCAACTTAGAGCTCTTCTTCTCTTAAGGTGGTGCTCTAGGGCCTCACAGGTCTCCTGTCTTCCTAGGGAGTTTGTCTGCTGGCAACCTGTAGGAGGATGTGGGAACACACCTCAGGGCACAGCTGGCAGGCAGAGCCTGAGACCCCAGGAATAACAGTAGGTGGGTACGGCCGGGTGCTGTGGGGTCTCCTCTGTTTCTGGGGGTAGGGCCCTTGGTACACAGTCAGGGTGTGCACTCACCTTGACTCCTGGCACTGCCTGGGTCTCCTCTGCTGTGCTGACTTTAGGATGTGTGCCTCACATCCAGTTTGTCACCACCTGGTTCCTGGAGCACCTGCAAGAGGAAGTGACGGAGCCCCTCAGGTTAAAGACTACAAGTAGAGTCTTGGGCCTCCCAGGGCTGACAGCTGGGGCTGGCCAGAATCCCAGAGCCCCATAGTTCTGGACTGCATGGCCCCCTCAGAATTTAATTGGAAACCTCACGGCTTCTCAGAGAGGGTCAAGCCCCCACCACTCTGCTGGCCTAAGGCAAAACCTCCTAGCAACCTCCACATCCCTGAGAGCAGTGGGAGGTAGTGCAGTGGCAGCCACCTCCCAGGACTCTACCATGGAGGTGGTCTGGGTGGCCTCACGTCCGTTCTGATGCACATGTGACTCCTGTCTTCTGTCTTATCGCCAGCAGGGCCTGGGAATCTTCCCTCTGCCAACCAGAGGCAGCTCCCCGTGCTGACTTGCCACGGGACCCCCAGAACAAGGCCTCTGCCTCCCCTCCATCCCTCACCCAGAAATGAGATGGCTGCCACTCAGCCTGAGCTGGCAGGGGAGTTCTACGAGGGCTGATTCTCGAGGAGCAGGGTGGGAATCTGTGGGAATCTGTCCTCTGAGATGGGGGTTCCCCCAGTCCTCCTCAATGTCTTCCTATTTATTCCCTAGAGGGCTGGCACCTCCTCCCTTCTTCTGTGGGCATTTTCCTGTCTGGGACCTACCAGTCCCACTGCAGCGGCAGTGCAGGCCGGGATTTCATCTCTCTATGGTGGGAGGTCCCTCAGTTCTTCCTCAGGGCCCTCACCTTGTGGACTGGCCAGGTCTAAGACTCCCCGCCGCTGACTTGATTCGAATCTCCTTGCAAAATGCCTCCGATCCTTTAGATTCCCAAGATGGCCGTCTGGAAAGCACATCCGGGAACCCGGCCGTAGTGGTCCAGGGCTGACGGCAGCGTCAACGTGGGGCGGGGCCTCCTCTCTGGGGAGGAACCACTCCCCACCTCTCCGCTTCTTTTCCATCCCTTCTTTCCCACATCCCAGCTGCCCTCCAACCCTTCCTGCTCACTCCCTAAACCTTGTGGACCTTTTCACTCCCACCTCCCCAGTCCTTGACATCCCACCCTCCTTTTTCCAGGGGTGTCAGCAGGGAGCGACTTGGTGCAGCCTGCACCTCCCCTCCGTGTTGGGAGGTCACCGTCCTTCCACATCTCTTCTTGTTTTCTGGCCAGTTCTGGGACTTCTCTCTCTGCTTAACTGAAGCTGCCCTCCTCAGAGACAGCCTCCCCTTCTGCTGACTCCCAAAATAGAAGTAAGAAAATTGTACATCTGGGGACCCTGATGGGGTCCTCCAGAGTTGGCAGCAGGCACAGGGACAGGACAGAGGGCACTACCGGTCATGGGTGTTCCCTTCTTGCCCTCCTGAGAGGCTGTGCCTGGACTCCTGAAATGGCCTGGACTCCCTGTCTCTGTGCATCTGAGTCTTTCACCTGCGAATAAGCCCCTCCCATCCCTGAGACCTGCAAGGTGGAAGAGAAGTAGAATCACATCCACCCACAGTGGGATAGGGCCTCCTGGCCCTAAGGCAGGCCTCCACTGCCCTCTGAAATGGGGTGGGAAGGCCCCTATGGCTTTCTCAAGGTATTACTTCTAAAAGAGCCTATACTCCTTCCTTCTCCTGTCCAGACAGCAACATTTGTTCCTTCAACTTCTAAATTCCATTCCAAGTTTTTCTACTTTACTGCTGTGAGTGAAGTTAATATCATCTCTCCCATAGCCTGTGTGTTAAAGGCTTCCTTATTGTTGCTTCTTTTCCTATTCTAGTCCCTGAACAAAAATCACTGTCTTTTCAGCAACCCGTGACCCTTTAAAAAAACAATACGTGATTAAAGTTTTAAATACACACATCAGATTTAACTAGAATGTGAAGTTATATGTATTTTGGAAAATGCATGGAGTCCCATATCTGCAAATCAAGTATCATACTGACCGGTTCCACCTGCCTAAAATTCTCCTGTGCATCCCGGTTGATGTCAATCACTGCACTCTACAAAGCTCCTAGCAACTCTCTTCTGTTTTCAGTTCCTATAATTTTAACTTTTCCAATTTGTCATATGATTAGCTTCATAAAATACTGACTTAAAAGTATGCCTGTACTATTTTTTTATCACAACTAGCAAGGAATGAGAAATTCTGTTATTCTATATCTTCTCTTACATTTAGTATTTTAGATTTTCAGGTTTTAGCCATTCTCATAAGCATGTATTGGAACCTTCTTTGGTTTTTGTTTGTATCTTCTTAATGACATGACATTGGTCATCTTTTTATATGCTTCTTTTTTCGTTTGCTATATTCCCTTTTGTAAAGTGTCTATTCAAATCATTTGCATCTTTTTATAGATGAATAAACTTCATTTTTAGAGCATTGTTAATTCAAGAATACAAAGAGAAAACTTCATCAGAATTAGAGTTCCTACATGTCTACACCACCCGCCCTGCACTGTTTACTGCACACACACACGCACAGAGTCTATCTTTTTATTTACATTTTGTATTATTATGACATGTTTGCTACAACTGATGGACCTGTATTGATACCTCATTCTTAAGTCCATCGTTTACATCAGGACTCACTCTTAATACTGAGGATACTATAAATTTTGGTAAGGGTGTAATGGCAAGTATTCATCATTGTGTTATCACACAGAATTGTTTCACTATCTTAGAGCTCCTCTGTGTTCCACCTAATTAATCAATCCCCCTTGCCCCAACCCCAACCCTCAGCCCCTGGAAACCAGTAATGTTTTTAGTGTATTCATCCTTGCCTGTTCCAGAATGTGGTATGCTAGGAAGCCTTTTTAGATTTTCTTCTTTCATTTAGCAGTATGCTTTCATGAGTCCTCCAGGTCTATCCCACTAACAACGACTGAAAGTTCCTGTTGGTCAACATGCATGTCAACATTTGATGTTTCAGTGTTTTAGATGTCAGCCATTCTCCTGGGTGTAGAGTGCTATACACCCAGCATCAGGGAGGGGGGCCTCCTCTCTGCGGAGGATCCACCCCCACCTCTCCACCTCTTTCCACCCTTTCCTGCCCTCCTCTCCACCTCCATCCACTTTTTCTTGCCCACGTCCCTACTCCATTGCACCCATTACTGTTCACCTTCTGCCCCCTTCTACCAGTTCCTGTCCATCTCCCCACTCCTTCCCACCCTTTCCTACCCACCTCCCTACCCATTCCACCCATTATGGCTCACCTCTTCACCCCCTTCCACCCATTCCTGCCCACTTCCCCAACCCCTTCCACTTCTTCCTATCCACCTCCACGTGACTGGCCCACTTCTTCCTGCCCACTTCCCTGCCTCCTTCCAGCCCTTCCTGCTTACCTTATGGTCCCCCTCCACCTTTTCCTTCTCACGCCCCTGCCCACCTCTTTCTTCCCACCTCCCTGCTGTCTCCCGGTCACCTCCTTTCTCCAGGTGTTACAGCAGATTGTGACTGGGCGTGATCTGGGTCTCCCCTCCATGTTGGGAGTTCATTGTCCTTCCACAGAGTTCTCTTCTTGTTGAGTGGCCAGTCCTGGGGCTTCTCTCTCTGCTTAACTGAAACTGCCCTCCTCAGAGAAAACTTCCCCTCTGGCAGGCTTCCAAAATGGAAGTTAGAAAGTTGTACACCTGGGGACCCTGATGGGCTTCTCCAGAGCTGGCAGCAGGCACGGGGACAGAGGAGGGGCACTACCAGTCATGGGTGTTCCCTTCCTGCCTTCCTGAGAGGCTGTGCCTGGACTCCTGAAACTGCCTGGGATGCCTGACCCTGTGCATCTGAGTCTTTCACCCCCGAATAAGCACCTCCCATCCCTGAGACCTGCAAGGTGCAAAAGAGGTGGACTCACATCCATCCACAGTGGGGTATGGCCTCCCAGGGGCTACTCTCTCTGATTAACGGAAGCTGCCCTCCTCAGAGAAAATCTCCCCTCTGGCTGACTCCCAAAATGGAAGTCAGAAAGTTGTAAATCTGGAGACCCTGATGGACTCCTCCAGAGCTGGCAGCAGGCACAGGGACAGGTTGGTGGCACTACCAGTCATGGGTGTTCCCTTCCTGCCCTCCTGGGAGGCACAGCCTGAAACTGCCTGGGCTCCCTGCCTCTGTGCATCTGAGTCTTTCACCTCCGAATAAGCCCCTCCCATCCCCGAGACCAGCAAGGTAGAAGAGAGGGAGAATCCCATCCACCCACAGTGGCATAGGGCCTGCAAAGCCCATGGTAGGGCTCCGGTGCCCTGTGTCTGAAATGGCATGGACAAGACTCTGTCTTCCTGTAATTATTATCCCTGACAGGGCCTCGGAGTCCCTTCCCCTGCTGTCCAGAGACCATGGTCTTCAGATCAAGGTTCCCGTTTCCATGAGACCCCAAACCAAGAGGAAGTGAAGAGCCCTAGCATCCCTGCCTGAGGGCCCTGCCCGAGGCCTCTCAGGGGTGAAAACAGGGGCTGATGTTGTGTGTCCTTCTGTTTCTTGGGAGGGATATCTCACCAGTCCTTCCTCTATGTCATCCTGGGGATGCCTGAAAGGGCCTGAGTCCCTTCCCCTCTCATAATCCGAAGTGAGACTCACCTGAGCACAGCCTTCTCCTCTTTCTACCGTCTAAGAAGTCAGGGGACACCACAGCGGGCCACCATGCCCCAGGGCCTCCCATGACTGACAGCAGTGGGGAAGCTGGATTCTGTGGATCCTCCTCTTTGTGGGCTGTGTCTCTGCAGTTTTCCGTCAGAAGCCTCATTTGACTACTGGTTGGTCCTGGGTTGCCCTGTCCTTCCCAGGATGTCAGTATGACACCGGGGAAAAATAATGTGACTGTACCCTGAAGAAAGCTAAAAACAATCTACATTGCCATGGTGATCAAATTAGCATCGTCAGTGACAAATTAAGTTTGTCCTCTGTATGGTGGGTATGATATGGAATATTTGGGAACTTTTTGTACTATCTTAATAATTTTTCCATACATCTAAAATTAACCTAAAATAAAAGGTTTTTTAAAATGTGATAACGTTAGCAAACTAGGTGAAATTTTATTTAACTCTTGATGGTAAATATTATACTTACCTGGGAAAATTTGAAACTTCTACTTTGAGATTAGTAACCAAACTAGAATCCTGCTATCACAAATTTCTATTCAATTGTCTAATAAAGGTAGTAGCCAGTGATGTAATATATAGCAGATGTAAAAGCAGTTAGGATGTTAATGTAGAAAATAGTGTTTCCATGAGTAACAGATTATTAGACTGTTTATGAAAAAAAATCAGAATTAAAGATAATCACCCTAATCTATAAATCAGTACACATGCTTGTCAGATAAAAGATCAGTATACAAAAATGAACCTTGCTTTTTTTGCAGGAGCAAAGAGTATGAAAAAAATGGCAAACAAAATATAACTTATATCATACCAAAATATCAATTAAAATAAATTTACCAAAAAAATTTAACAACTTCACAGAAAATAATAAATGTAGCATTTAGATTAATTGATGAGCCCCTACATAAATTTAGGGCTTTTAAAATTTTAATTTTTAATTTGGGGAATATATTATAGGTGTATATTTGTATGGCTTACATGAGATATTTTAATACAGGCATGAAATACGTAATAATTACCACACGGTAAATGGGGGTATCCATTACATCAATTATGTATCTGATGTGTTACAAACAATCCAATTATACCCTTTTATTTACTTTAAATGTTCAATTAAATTATTTTTTCACTATTATCATCCCATTGCCCTGGCAAATACTAGGTCTTACCCATTGTTTCTATTTTTTTCTACCCATTAGCCCTCCCGACTTTCTCCCCACCCTCTCACTACCCTTCCCATCCTCTGGTAACCATCCCTCTATGCTCTATCTCCGTGAATTCAATCGTATTGA